TTCAATGAGGCAGAATTTTTTTCTGAACTCTTCCCCAGATGTGTGATTTGATGCAAACCTGTTTCTGAGCTTTACAGGCAGTTATTTTGACCTCAGGGCTTGGTTTTTGCTCTGATATGCATTATCAGCTGTTCGACCTTTTATTAAGATGTGTGTGCCTTTCCAAATCATACCCATTCAATTGAATTTGCCACAGGAAATCTTCACTCAAAGTGAAGTAACATCTACAAGCAATATGAATGCTCCTGAGCTAAATTTAAACTGTCCCATATAAAGGTATGAATACTTGCAATGTAATCATTTAAGTTTTTTTTATTTTTAATACATTTGCAAAGATGTTAAAAAAAAACTGTTTTTTGCTTTACCATTATGGTGTATGAAGTGTAGATTGATAAAAAGTAATTTAAAGCAGTTTAACATAAGGCAGCAACATAACAAAACGTGAAAAAAATGTAGGGGTATGAATACTTTCGCAAGTAACTGTATATGCAGATTTCGTTAGTGTTTACAGCTAAAGGCTCCAGAGACCTCAGATGTTGGAGAACTGATTGGCTATTAATGGCTACATGGAAAACAGTCCTGTGTGCTTTTAATTCCCTAGCAGGGTGAGGCACAATCTAGTGCTGCAGATGGTCAAAGTCTCTCCATTAATCTTTTATTGGTATGTAATTATTTTTTTGCTCCTGCATAATTAATAACGTCAGTTTGATTTCTATAGTCACGGTGTAGGATTACAGAGAGTGCATGAACACGACATTTTTCATGGTGATGTCAGTGAGTTGTTGTATGACAGCCATCCATGTCATTGAGACTGACATTTTACCAATGTTGGGCCAGCGATTGATGGGAATTCTGGGGGCGAGGCCAGGCTAATGAAGCCAGCAACGGGCCAGCGCTTGATACAAATCTTCTAAGCACATAGGGAGAACGCCCAGGTCTTGGTACTGCTAACACTAGGCCAACATTAGGCCTTGGTTTGCTGGGAAGGCTGGGCAGAGGCCAGGCTTCTGCTGGGTAAGGGCTATTTCTGAAGGACACTGGGGAGGGTACAGCTGGCGTCCCTGCTGTTCGGAGTGTAAAGCAGCCAGCCTGCTGAAACAAAGCCAATCGACTGCTGCTGAGAAACCGTCTGTCCTCAATGGAATCAAAGCCATCTCTTGTTCTTCTTTCACCTCTGTTATGTGCACTCATCTGCAGTTACTGTCTATACATGTTACAGTACTGAATCTTAGGATATGGAAAATATCATGCTTTCTTGGTCTTGAAACAACATTCTTAGTAGCTAGTCACATTTGAGGGTTAGATTTGGCAACATGCTCCTGGATCAGCATGTTTTTACTGGAGCAACATAACTAACTCCAACCCTAACCATTAAATAGTTTAAGTCAGAAAGATAGCTTGATAGTATTGTTATTATAGCCCTAAATTCTGATTGGTTGTTGGGCATGTTGTTCCAGCTCCAGCAAGGATCCAGGAACACATTTTACTTCACGGTCAATCTGGTGTATGATTGATGAATGTTGTTCTTTCGTTTTGTCATACTTGGCTAAATCGTGTTGTACTATTTACAAGGTAGGCCTCAAGATTCCAAGACAATTAGGTAAAAATATTAATTCTGAGTAAAAATATTGATTTTCCAATCTTAAGATTGATGCTATACTCTGTGAATTTGAGAATGTGAAATTTCTGTTTGGGTCGCAGACTGCAGGCAAAGACAAACCTACCATACAACATGACCAGTTTAGTCTGATCCATGAACAAATGATTCTTATGATCCAGTTATCTTAAGTAATTCAGAAACATACTGCATTTATTTGTCATACTCGTCTTTGTACTATTATATTTAAGTGAAATTGTAGGATTTTGCATTTCACAACAAAAACTTGCGAGCAAGACCAGACATATGAAGCAAAGGCTGTTATAACTGAAATGTACCCAAAGTAATCTGAATTGAATCCAATCAAATCGCACTGAAATAGGAGTCCAATCAAATTCGGAGCTTGTGAATCATAATTGGATTTAATTGGGAAATCTTAATCGATTTCTAGCCCTAGATGGTATAAATATAAGGATTAAGTTACTTAGCATCACTGACATCCTTTCAGTTACTCGCTGCACCCAAATCCTGGTCACTTTCAATGAAAAGGTGCTCACAAATCCTCTAATTTGCTGCAATGCATCTAAGAGATCAGAACCTAAAAGTTATTGCTGCCATTATTGCAGTGTGTATACAGGCGCAGTCACAGCCACCTGCAGCACACTGAATATCAATTCAAAATAAACCATGATGACTATAATTAATATTCCAGTCAGCTTAAGTGCACATTAAATTACCTACGAACTGCATCAATAATGCATGATCTTCCATTTCTATTGCTCCAAAGAAGCATAGTGTTTGGGTATGAAATCCACATGTGTTTTCTTTTTTTTTTCTTTTTTTTAAATGCAATTAGTGCTTGTTTTGCAGGTCTAGAGGTGTGTGAGTCAGCTTATCTCAAGGTAAGAGTCGGTATGCAGAAACAAGCAATGACTTTGCTGATCACTCTTTGATGAGGCCATTTGCAGAACAGCAAACATAGAGGCATCTCTCAAGAGACTGCGGCAGGTACAGCAAAGTGCAGATAAAGAAAAACATTCACCATTCAGTTGTTCATTTGGGGTTACAAGGTTACCATTAAGACCATGAAGAGCCTGTGCAATTAACACTCTCCCATCCTGACCACTCCCTGTCATTGAAAGAGGGTTAAATTCAAGAGGGTTTCCATGGTGATTCACCAGGACACATAGAAGATCAACATGTGTTATGTTACTTCGCAGCCATTCATTTCTAGCTTCGATTTCCAGAAGGAAAGAAATGAGGCAGGGAATTGCATTGGTGTGAAATGGCAGAAAAAAATCAAGACTTGGTGCTATTTTTTGTTTTATAGATGTACCTTGAGTTAGACAGTGTCACTTTGGACATCATATTAAGAGAATGATCATTAGGAAAAAGACATCACAGCAATGATGAATGTCAGCATTGAGTTAGACTGATATAATAACAGCAGATCTGGGAATTGCATTATTCATGACCAGTTGTTTGACTGAAGACTGAACATTGTTTAGAAGAACTGTCCATGAGGCTGTTATGAGTCGACATTGAATCAATGGCACTTAACCACAGATTTGTGCACATTAATGGATGCTGTAAAAATATCAAATACACCCCTAAATCAATGCAGTACTTTCATTTTTATTGTAGTAGTTAAGTCTGCATTTTTTTAAAAAGAGTGTCTTCTAAAATGGAATGTCATGTTTTCCTTTTTTATAATGAAGGTATAATTAATTATTACATTAAACACCTCATCAAATCAAACAGTAATTTAATTTTCAAACACAGATACCATACATTCTAGCCCTAAATTCACCTTCTTTCTTTCTTTCTTTCTTTCTTTTTAACACTTCTTTAATAGTTTGTAAGACTTTATTACAGTTATATTTTAATTGCAGCATTTTAAGATTTTGCATTTCACAACCACCACTTGCAAGCATAAACAGTCTGACATTTAATTTTCAACAAAAGAGATGAGTCATTTACCCTTCTTACTTTTTATATCTTTGTTCTTATGCAACAAGCTGGCCTTTTGAAGTGGAGGCATTTCACTGTGAAATTGTCGAGCTCTGAGCACAGCAACAGTGGGGTCCACATAAGAGACATCAGGCGACCCGTGGGGAACCGTTCTTAGCTATATCCGTAGTCCAAATCCAGGCCATTTCGAAATTAATGAACATCGGCCCGAATAATAGCCACTCTACATGCATCCTCCTTCAAGATGGGAGGTTACGATACCCAGAATTCATCCCATTAATTAGCACCTGCCCTTCCCTGACAGTGAGCCACCCTTGCTATTGATGGAGCTCTCTCTGGGGAAATCACAACCTCTACACCTAGACGTTCTTCTGAGACTTCTTTGTCTTCATGCATGCACAAACGTATACAAGGCACCATGCCGGGATTTGCCACGTACACCATCCAGCTTCCAACCTCCTGAAGTGCATGAACACGCTCCCAGGAAAGTTTCGTAAATGTCCTTGTCCTGCCTCCACCCTTTGCTTAGGATGTGTGAGGATGCTAATACTAGCTGAGAGGGTCATCTTAGTTGACTGCTGCCAGAACCATCGCCTGCTGACTGCATCATCATCCACGGTAGCCAATCGCAGCCAAGGACTTAGTGATGCTGTGCCACTCTCACTGGAGGGATTCCGAAGGAAGTGCCTCGTGACGGTGCATGGTTAAACAGCCAAGAGTCCCTTTCTCTCTCCCTCCCTATCTTTAATTCAGGACTGGATGCATGCACGATCTGGCTTTTAACAGTGATAGCACCATTACCATGCACACTACTCTCTGCAGGCTCAGCAGAGAATAGCGACAACAGCAGCTCTCTCTCTCCCGCTCTCTCCACCTCTACCAGACAAGACTCCTCCTCTCCATCTCTCTGTGACTCCCTCTCTCTCTTGCATATGATCTGTACTTCACTTCCTCCCAGCTGAAGCAGGAGATAACAGCACGCTACACACAGGTAGGCACTCATATTTCCCTCTCTGAAGTTGCAGGTGTTCGACTGTTGCTGGTTTGTTTCGTATTGGTTGCGATTCTGAGAGAGACCTATACTGGGTCAGAGTAGAGCGTGCCATCATAAATGCCCGCCCCTACAGCGTGGCGTTTGTTTTCACGCCAACGCTGCTTTTGGCACCATTTCCTTCCTTTTTCTGGCCAGCCGGGGAAGGTGGTAGTTTACTGGTTGGATGGTTCCTGTGAGAAACCCATCATCTACTGCCACGCTTAGCTGAGATCTGCTTATCCAAGTAGGGGAAAATGATTCGCACGTTTGCAGCTGGAGATTGGAGATGTGTTTTCTTATGTGTAGGTTTGTGTGTGGGAGTTTGTGTGCGGGTGGACAGCTGAGGTTGGAAGGGAGGAGAGATGGAAGATTAGATGCTGTATTCATCCCCGGGAAACTAATCCCACCACAGTTCTCTGTATCTGATAAACACTCTCTTCGTCTTTTCTCCCTCTACGTTTCATGTGTGATGGGTTTATCTGTGGCGGTGGATAGTGGAGAATTATTCCAGTGGAGGAAATTATTTCAGAATGGCAGATAATTCCCACAGTAAAGAGCTTCTTTCTTACCTAGAAACCATTATTTGTTCTGCTCTGGGAATCACGACCGCCAGTGTATATTTGGATGTATATTTCATCCTAGAGTGGCAGCCAAAGAGAAAGTAGGTTCGCCTTGCGTCGTCCCTCAAGATTGTTATCAAACTGCACTTGACTTTCCTTCTCAACTCAAGCTCTTCTTTTGTTTGCAATTGTTGGATTGAGGATGGATTGCATAACAAGCTGAAATATCTTATAGTCATTATGTTATGAAGGACTTGGTCCATTGTGGATCGCTCCTGCCCACATCAACAAATGCGCCTGTCATTACCTCATATCTGTGTTGGGCAAATCAGCCGTTGCTATGCACGTCTAGTGAGAGCGAGGAGCAGGGATTGCTCGACTATAGCCTCGGGCTTATCCAATTCAGTTGTGCAGATCCTCCTCTGGAATACATTAGTGCTTGAGAAGCCGTGGTAAAACAGTTGCTAAGTGATACCATAGAAATAGCTTCAAAGCCTCATCAAAAAAGACCACCACTACGAAAACACAAACAAGTAAACAACAACAAAAAAAACTTTGTACACTTGTTGATTTTGTCACAAATTTTTTATATATTTATTTTAATTAATTTATTTTTAATAAAAAATGATAACCATGGACGACAGTTATTATATTATTTTATTACAACAATTATTTTTTTTATTATAATAGCATTTAATATATTTATGTTTTATTATAATAGCATATATTTATTGGTAACGCTTTAGTATAGGGACGAGTTCTCACTACTAACTAGTTGATTATTAGCATGTCTATTATTAACATACAGTAGGTGTACAACCAAAATGCCTATTACCGCCACGTGTACCGCCGCCGCAGGGCCACAGCGTTAACTGCAAGTCAGTCACGTGTTAAAGTTGTTCACGAAACTACCGCCAGGTGGCGCAAAGGGAAAGTTTGCAAACTGACTGAAATTATGATATTTTGTTTTGTAAACTGAGATCAAATAACGAAATAAAACAACAATAACATTATAATATAACATTATAACATCCTTAAAAATCATTAGAAAATTTACAGTGAGGGTTAAATTCAAAACGCCGTAGGCTGCAGCCTAATGCATAAAAAAAAGAAAGAATTAAATTTACACAAAGGCTCTTACTGCATGTTATGGTTATTAAACAGCCACTATTAAAATCATTATAATTACACCATTTCCTTATGTTGTATTAAGGGGTTTTCATTTCAATCTACAGGCTAAAGTTTTTGAACGAAAAATCCTGACCTTGGCCATTGGTCATCTGTACAAGGCTGCACATTCATGAGACTCTATTCGCATCGCAATTTACTCTGACTCACAACATAAAAATAAATAAATAAATAAAAACCTTGAACAAAATAAGTTGTGAGAAATCAAGATTAATAGCCTAAAACTGTGACATGAAAAATTATTAATATTAACTTGGAATGTTTAGATTACATTTAAGGAGGTGTGAATTATGCCTTAAAAAATATGTATTAAAACGCTTTAAAATAATAATTAAACCATTTTTTACAACTTAATACAACAATACAACTTAAGAATTTTGTCATTTAATTAGAAAAAAAACCCTGATTCACAACATTCATTTCCAAACGCAGAAATCAGAGCCCTGCCTGCACGGGCCTCAAACCTAGGCCCTATAGCCAGCCCTTGGCCGACAGCTTACCAGTATCCTCGGCCCGAGTCCAACTGGAGCCCGTGTCTTTTTTCTCTCTCGCTTCAAAATTACACAGCTGCTGTTGCAGCCATTAAAATAGTTCAGTTTGTTTTTAATTGCAAAGTTATATTTCTTATTGTTGCATTATTTATTAATTTAGAAAAATGTTTGGAACATTCTTTGTTTGTTAAATTCAAGTTTTTTTTTTTTAAGTGACGACCAAGCGTTAGCGGCAGACAGCTGAGTTGATCACGTTTGATCAATTTAGCCTTCTCAAATCATCACAACTTGCTTAAAATAAAATCTATAGATATAAAACACTTAAAGCATATTACAATGTTAGTTTAAACATTTAACCTAGATAAAAGTGCGCTGTTAGGCGTATCTAAGCGTTTGTGCAGAGAGTGGAAGCTGAAGCGCGCTTAATGCATGGAGGCGCCAGCGCGATCACTTGCATTTT